GGAACCACAGGCTCCCAGGCTCCGGCGATACGGCCCCGTGCTCCTCTGGCTCCGCTGGTCTGGATGCTTCCCGGGCAGGATTTCTGTGCAGCTCTGTGATTTCTTTATTCGAGCTATTGATATTGGATTCCTAGCCCAGGGACACTTCCAAGGCCATAAATCTGCTCTGTTGCTCTACCTGGTGCTCTTGTTTTCACTGCGAGGCTTCCAGGCCCGCGGGACATCTCGGCTTCCGTGCATGGCCGCGCGGCGGCAAGCACGGCGTCGGCGGCGCCATGGCCAGCCGGAGCAGGAGCCGTGCCGCGAGGCCGGGGCTCGGGGCCACACGGTGCCACGTGGGACCCCAGCGCTGCGCTGCGAGGCCAGGCCCCAAGGCCAGGGCCCCAAGGCCGSACGGTGCCACGCGCGGCCCGCGCTCCCCACCAGGCACTGATGGCCGCTCTCGACCACTTCCATGGCGCAAGAGAGCGACTTGGCCACGGCTTCCATGGTGGTGGCTCTCCCTGCCACCCACCGCAGCTCACGAGGACTGAGTGGCCAGCACACGGATGGGACGAGGCCTTGGAGAACCCTGTGAGTCCTCTGCCGTCCCCCCCGGGGCTCCCTGGCCTTGGGGCCTGCTGGGCGGGATGCGCGCCCCGTGAAGCGCCAGCCCGGGGCCTAGGAGGGTGCTGGGGTACTAGGGTGCGCCCGGGGTGCCCCCCCACGGAGCAGGGTCGAGGGGAGGGATGGCTGCTCTGCTGCGTTAAAAGGAGCCCCTTGACTCTGCAAATCCACGTGTTGCTCTTGGCAGGAGGTGCTGTGACCCTGCCAAGAGCAACAGTTTTACATATTAAAGCAAAATTAAATTAAAAGGCATTTATTTGTGCGTTTACCTCCTGTTAACCCTTTGTGGCCCTGGCAGTGGCTGTGGAGCTGTGGGGGCAGCCGCTGGGGCTGGCGGGAGGCTGCCCGGCACAGGGGCCGCGCTGGGAGCAGGGCACGGACCGCAGGTGCCGCGGCGGGAGGCAGAGCGGCCGTGGGGCCGCGGCCGGCGCCCAGGCCGGGCAGCAGGGCAGCAGGGCGGGCTGGCAGGGGGCTGCGGGGGGCAGGCGGGGGGCTCTGACCTCTCCCTTCATGCAGCCCCGCTGCGTAAATACACACGAGAGTCCAACGTGAGTGAGACGGGCGGCCAGCCCGGGCGGCACAAAAGCATCTTTGAGAGCTGCAGGCTGGGGCACAAGCGGCAGCTTCAGGGTGCCAGCTGCTCCTTCCTCTCGCCCACACTGAAACAGCACTGCCCATGGCAGCGTGCACCAGAGCGCCGGGCAGGGCAGCGCTGGCGCTGTGAGACCTCTCCAGCCTCTGCCCGCCGGGTCTGCTGTGCCTGCTGGACCCCCAGAGCCTTTGCTGCGTGGTTGGAGCTGTTTCTGAGTCATTTGGGGTATTTCTGGGGTGTATTTCCAAGCTTCTCTCAGCAAACATGTCTCCAGAAAGAAAATTCTGATTCGCTTTGGTCCCAGGACGCTGGGCTTTAGCATGGCGAGTGGCCCTGGAGCGGAGGCAGTGACAACCACCCCACGCAAGACACACAGACGATGATGGGACCCCATCCTGGAACAGGGTGGACAGGAGTGGGTGAGGATGGACCAGGGACCAAGAGCAGGTGCCAGTACCCTGGTGCACTGATGCGACCGCAGCTGTGTCCTTGGGGTTTGGGGACAGTGGCAGAGGGTTGGGAGAGGGAGAGGTGTTTCTGGACACCCTGATGGCCTGATGGCTCCACATAGGGATGGGAATGGAGGTGTTCACCCCAAGACATGTCCCCAAAGCAGCTCCAGACACCCTGCTCTGCCCTAGAGATGGCTGCATTTCAGGGGCAGATGCGGGTGTGCAGGCCCTTGAACTCAGGGCAAGGTGGTCATTCACAGCCCCTGGGTGAGACAGGTTGGTCCTCCTCAGCTCCGAGAGAACCTCGGAGCTTCCTAATAGAAGTTTGGGCAAAGCCGAGGTGGTGCAGCAAGAAACTCGGGCAGCCTGGTAACCTGCCGAACCCTCCCCGGGCACCGCTGCGGCCTGCAGAAGCACAGGGGAATGGGGCAGGACCTGGTGGGGGGTTAGATGAGCAGAAACCACATAAACTGCCTCTTTTCTGGTGGGTCTGCAGTGTGACTTCCCTCCCCTTGGACTTGCATCCCTTTGTAAGAAGCTGCTGTCGCTGCTGCAATGCCTGCGTGTGCAGGAAAGCAATTTCTGGGAGCATCCCGAGGTGGTGGTTGGCCGGGACACGTCCCCCTGCTAACAAACAGCACTTTTCCCTCCACTTCATCTGCGGTGGCACCCGACAGGCAAGCAGCCACCCTGCGATAGGAGGAAATTCCAGCGTGCCTGCTTATCTTGTACACTGTTATAAGGACTGATAAGTAGCTCCCATGGAATTTCCTTATATCATAGAATTGGGTATGTTTAAATAATATATGGCTGGAGTGTCTGTTCGGCGCTGGCGATTAGGAGCCGCGTTGACAGGCTGTTATGCTGTTGCTAAATAAATACCAGGGCTGAGGCTGGTGTGCAGGAACGCCTGGGAACCGTGCGGCGCCCACAGCCAAAGGCGCCAGGCCGGGGCTGCCCGGCGCCGCGGGCGCCCTTGGCAGCGGCCACAGGCCTCGAAGGTGCCCTGGGCACCTCGTGTGGATTCGCCCTGCTGCCTGCACGAACCTGGTGYGTTCTTCCCCACTGGGACAGCCCCCGACCCCGGGGAGGCCTCCGCTGCGGCCCCTTGCACTGCTCTGTAGGTGACGCGCGGCTGCTCCAGGGCACTGCGGCGCCGGGCAGCCACAGAGCCCTCGTGTGCCCTGCACTGAGCTGTCTCCCCGGCCGGGGGCTGCTCTGGGTGCCGGGAAGCGCCTGTGTCCCCTGCACGGGGCCCTGCGGCTGGGTCTGGGGCCATCGGGGTGCGTGGGGAGTGTGTGCAGAGGCCGCTGTCACCTCTGCCAGGGCCGCTGCTCGCCAGGGCACTGCCTGTGCCGGCCTTCGCACCAGGGCCGGACGCCCCGCACTGCAGCACCCGCTCCAGCAGACACGACCTGTGAGCAAGGCAGCTCTGTTAATTAAAGTTGCTCGTCACCCGGTCATTAGAATGGGCTTGTCCCTCCACTGTGGGGGGTTGGGACAAGCAGGGGCCGAGAGGGACAGCCGCCTGCCCACGTACAAGGCTGCTCCGCACGGGCAGCGCGGGCAGGACCTCCCAGCACMAGCACGGCCCGAGTTTTCCAGTGCTCAGCTCCTTGACAGCCYGCGGGGAAGGAATAGGTGATTTTTTCAAAGTGGGGAGGGAGAACAACACCCTGGGCCTCAGTCTGCCGGAGCCGTGCGGGCACGAGGCTGGGCTGCGMTCCCCCCCGCCGGCTGCCCCTGGCAGCACTTGGTCCCGCTGTTCCCCATCCAGGCTTGGGGGATCTGCCCCCAGCCCGGACTCACCCAGCCCGGCCTAGTGCCCAGGGAGCCGCCAGCACCGCCTGGCTCTTGAAGACGCTGCTTATGGTGAGCGTCAGCGGGCGAAACCCTGAGCCGTGGGCGGCGTGTCGCGCTCAGCCCTGTGTGACGCTGCCGCGGCCTGGTGCGCTTCGTACCCCCGCTTTGTGACCCGGTTCGTGTCCCTGCTTCGCGGCCCGCTTTGTGCTCCCACTTTGTGGCCCCGCTTCGTGTCCCCGCTTCGTGTCTGGGTGCTCCCGCTGCTAGGGCTGTGCTGCTGCCCCAGCGCTGCCTGGAGATGGGAGCCCTCCATTTCCGATGGGTATTTTGAGGTGGGGCCACATGTGTGTACACACATGTGTGTGTGCTTGCACACGTGTGTATGTATGTGTGCGTGTGTGTATGTGTGTGCGCGTGTGTGC